GAATCGTAAAGCTCGACCGATTGCTAAGCGACGGGCATCTAAGTGTAGTATCTTACCATCACATCCTTTCTTTTTTCATTGTTCTCCTGTTGCAGATTCCGTATTGTCTTCCACTGCGGGAGAGCTTTCGAACTTGGGCTATGGTCTTAGTTGGCTTGTTCTGGAGAGCCGGGTTCTGTTCAGGGTGAAGAGACTGTCCACCGTATCGCCTTTTAGCAGCAGCACTCGATAGCCTCCATTTCTTTCCCGACTCGCAACTGCTCTTCTCTTCTGAAGCCCTTCAGCTCTACACATCGGATTTAAATATACTTCCTCTCCAGATTCTAAGATTGAGTATGTCTTGGTCGGTGTTTATGATGCGTTGCTCACCGCTGTAATCGCTTTCGAAGATGGTCTCGCCAACAATTAGTAAAAATTATCAGGGTTTCAAATTTACAATGGTTCCAGGAGCAGCTTGTGGTGGTACTGGTTGTGCTTGAAATGATGATGTCGCAATAATCTGTCTACGTTCTGCGCGATCCCACCGGTTATTTATTGGAATCTTATGCTTTTCTTGCCGACTTTCAATGTTAAGTGAGCTACGTTAGGCGAGCAGCAGCAGCGAGTGAAGAGGTTCGATCGCCCTTCACAATAAGCACTAAACCTCTAGATAATTTCTGAAAGATCCGGTTCCTGGTCATAATCGCAAAAGTTCCATGCTTCTAATATCCGTCCCACATCCTCACCGATGCCGTACCCGAACATCACTAATTGATATGATCGCGGATATTCATCTAACTCGAGCAGCGTAGCGAAATCCATCCATTCAGCTTTCCACACCCTCCAGCTATCCGGTAATGTGCCTGCTGTCATTTGTAGAGGATGCGGCAGTGGGACCAGTGATAGTTCATCAAAGGCGAGCGGGGTTTGGTACCGCAGCACCTCTGTCATCATGTCAAGTGGCCCTCCATGCAACAAAAAGTCAAAGTCTGGGCCTCGATAAGAAATTCATTATTCATAGAACGCAAACCCATTTTATATCTCGACTCAATTAGAATCACTCACAGATGCAGAACAAATCTCCTTTCTATTACATTCTTGGCCAGCGTTCGATCTTCGTTCAATATCGATCCAAATCAATTGCATGCCTCCCTTCAGTTCGACTCTGCAGCGATCCACCAGCTTTCAGACTGTTGGCCCAAAATCGTAAAGCTCGACCGATCGTTAAGCGACGGGCATTTAAGTGTAGTATCTTACTATCACATCCTTTGTTTTTTCTTTTTTTCACAGTTCTCGTGTTGCAGTTTCCGTATTGTCTTCCACTGCGGGAGAGCTTTCGAACTTCGGTTATGATCTTAGTTGGCTTGTTCTGGACAGCCGGGTTCTGTTCAGGGTGAAGAGACTGTCCACCGTATCGCCTTTTAGCAGCAGCACTCGATAGCCTCCATTTCTTTCCCGACTCTCAACTGCTCTTCTCTTCTGAAGCCCTTCAGCTCTACACATCGGATTTAAATATACTTCCTCTCCAGATTCTAAGATTGAGTATGTCTTGGTCGGTGTTTATGATGCGTTGCTCACCGCTGTAATCGCTTTCGAAGATGGTCTCGCCAACAATTAGTAAAAATTATCAGGGTTTCAAATTTACAATGGTTCCAGGAGCAGCTTGTGGTGGTACTGGTTGTGCTTGAAATGATGATGTCGCAATAATCTGTCTACGTTCTGCGCGATCCTACCTGTTATTTATTGAAATCTCATGCTTTTCTTGCCGACTTTCAATGTTAAGTGAGCTAACGTTAGGCGATCGGCAGCAGCGGGTGAAGAGGTTCGATCGCCCTTCACAATAAGCACTAAACCTCTAGATAATTTCTGAAAGATCCGGTTCCTGGTCATAATCGCAAAAGTTCCATGCTTCTAATATCCGTCCCACATCCTCACCGATGCCGTACCCGAACATCACTAATTGATATGATCGCGGATATTCATCTAACTCGAGCAGCGTAGCGAAATCCATCCATTCAGCTTTCCACACCCTCCAGCTATCCGGTAATGTGCCTGCTGTCATTTGTAGAGGATGCGGCAGTGGGACCAGTTATAGTTCATCAAAGGCGAGCGGGGTTTGGTACCACAGCACCTCTGTCATCATGTCAAGTGGCCCTCCATGCAACAAAAAGTCAAAGTCTGGGCCTCGATAAGAAATTCATTATTCATAGAACGCAAACCCATTTTATATCTCGACTCAATTAGAATCACTCACAGATGCAGAACAAATCTCCTTTCTATTACATTCTTGGCCAGCGTTCGATCTTCGTTCAATATCGATCCAAATCAATTGCATGCCTCCCTTCAGTTCGACTCTGCAGCGATCCACCAGCTTTCAGACTGTTGGCCCAAAATCGTAAATCTCGACCGATCGCTAAGCGACGGGCATCTAAGTGCAATATCTTACTATCACATCCTTTGTTTTTTCTTTTTTTCACAGTTCTCGTGTTGCAGTTTCCGTATTGTCTTCCACTGCGGGAGAGCTTTCGAACTTCGGTTATGATCTTAGTTGGCTTGTTCTGGACAGCCGGGTTCTGTTCAGGGTGAAGAGACTGTCCACCGTATCGCCTTTTAGCAGCAGCACTCGATAGCCTCCATTTCTTTCCCGACTCTCAACTGCTCTTCTCTTCTGAAGCCCTTCAGCTCTACACATCGGATTTAAATATACTTCCTCTCCAGATTCTAAGATTGAGTATGTCTTGGTCTGTGTTTATGATGCGTTGCTCACCGCTGTAATCGCTTTCGAAGATGGTCTCGACAACAATTAGTAGAAATTATCAGGGTTTCAAATTTACAATGGTTCCAGGAGCAGCTTGTGGTGGTACTAGTTGTGCTTGAAATGATGATGTCGCAATAATCTGTCTACGTTCTGCGCGATCCTACCTGTTATTTATTGAAATCTCATGCTTTTCTTGCCGACTTTCAATGTTAAGTGAGCTAACGTTAGGCGATCGGCAGCAGCGGGTGAAGAGGTTCGATCGCCCTTCACAATAAGCACTAAACCTCTAGATAATTTCTGAAAGATCCGGTTCCTGGTCATAATCGCAAAAGTTCCATGCTTCTAATATCCGTGCCGCATCCTCACCGATGTCGTACCTGAACATCGCTAATTGATATGATCCCGGATATTCATCTAACTCGATCAGCGTAGCGAAATCCATCCATTCAGCTTTCCACACCCTCCAGCTATCCGGTAATGTGCCTGCTGTCATTTGTAGAGGATGCGGCAGTGGGATCAATGATAGTTCATCAAAGGCGAGCGGGGTTTGGTACCTCAGCACCTCTGTCATCATGTCAAGTGGCCCTCCATGCATCAAAAAGTCAAAGTCTGGGCCTCGATCAGAAATTCATTATTCATAGAACGCAAACTCATTTTATATCTCGAGTCAATTAGAATCACTCACAGATGCAGAACAAATCTCCTTCCTATTACATTCTTGGCCAGCGTTCGAGCTTCGTTCAATATCGATCCAAATCAATTGCATGCCTTCCTTCAGTTCGACTCTGCAGCAATCCACCGGTTTTCAGACTGTTGGCCCAAAATCGTTAAGCTCGACCGATCATTAAGCGACCGGCATCTAAGTGTAGTATCTTACCATCATAGATGGTTCACCGTTGTCGCTCATGGCTCGGTGACATAAGCTGCTAGCTAGCGGTTCAAGCCGCTTGTGGTCATGGGTTCGGATCTTGATGGAACCGATGGATGCGCACTACGGAGGAGATCCAACAGGCGGAAACGGCCGTCTAGTGCTTTGCTGGGCATGTGAAGTACCATCTGATTCGGAAGCTGCTGCGATGAACTCTAAAATAATTACATCAAAAATCCACTTCTCATGAGGAAATTCAAATGAAATATAGAAGACGTCCGTCCTCGAGCTCTGTTACTCTAAGTGGGTCTGACATTAGAATTACATCAAAATACTTGTGAAGACGGAGCGATTCGTCAATAGAACGCGAACACTGTTCAAGCAGGAACAACCAGCTCATATGCAGATGTGAGGTTGGTGATCTACCGGATGAAACGAACAAACTGTCTATACCTGGCACGTGCAAGTATGATTGGGGAAAGGTGGCCAATCACAGCCCGAGTGAGGTTGTACCTATCATACTGACAACTAGTCGATAGACGTCCGGTAGATCAGAGAACAGTTGTACTATGTGACGCATGTTTGTGTGTGTGTGTGTGTGGCCCCCCCACACTGGTGCCGTGACGCATACAAAACGAAGGATAGACAGGGAAAGGGAGACGAAAAATCGGAGCGGAGGGCAATCCTAATCGATGGGGTTGGGTTTGTCTGAGAAGACAATGGTAAAAAGGAAATCGTTATGAAGGTGTCTGAGATAGCCAAAATAACAGTTGTCGCAGTTAGTGAGTGCGCTACTGAGAACAATCTGACGATGGTGGGAAAGCCAAATGGTCGGAAAGCATCCCATTAATCGGAAGGGCACCTCATAATTGGCTTGAAGAAGGTTGGCCCAAGAAATAACAAACAAAAAATGGGGAGAGGAGAAATGAGGACCAAAAAGAGAAATAGGGGCAGAATGACTGGAACGTCGGGAGTCGATCTAACGATATGTACAACACGCATGGTCTCTTGGCTGTCCAGACCATGTCTTGAATCTGGTGCGGCGATTGGCAACAAAGGATACATACGGTGTGATCTAGGCGAATCATTGAACTATGACCAGCCTTGCAGCTGACAAACGAAATATCGGTGTCGCGAACATTCTACTGTGGCGGAAGTAATCACTACCTAATCCTCGGCATCGCATCAACGGTTAGACAGGGCGGTTTCTGTGCGAAAGCATTAAAGAGCAAGCTGCGTAGTGACAACATGAATGGGAGAGTTCTCAAGAGACTTACAGGATCCTCACAGGGTGACTAAAATGCAATGAGCAAATCAGAGAGCAAATGGAATCTCAGTGCGACATGAAAGAGTATTGCGTTCGGGAAGAGGTAGAGAGGTAAAGGAGTAACTCACTGCCTGTCCGTTGCGTGTGCACAGAACCATCATCATTTTGGTCTCTGAGCTAAAGGACCACTCTTGCACCCGATGATAGAGCTGTCGGGGATCGACAATTCGTAGCTTTGGACAAGAGAGAAAGAGGGGTCAACAGAGGGATATTCAAGAAGTGGATCGTGAACCAAGTGCCAAACTGACAGCGGGATAGGATGTAGTGATCATAAGTGCTAATAAATGAAAATGATTGGGGGAGGTAAAGGCGGAGCACGTGCCTCACACGAAACCAAACTGTGGTGATTTGAAATACCATTAAAGTGGTCAGCGAGTTAATGGCATTACAGAGGTGTAAAGAGAAGACGAAGATAACGCAACTTGATCGATAAAGTTGCTTTCTGACTAGCCCGAATTGCAGCGATATTTGATATAGTTGTCAGATAGGACAAGAATTTAGAGTGGAAAAGTGGGGATGAAACATTGGTGTCATCATCATCATCACATCATCATCGTCGTCATCATCATCATCATCATACACGTTAGCTGGAGGTGGGAAACACGTCAGCTACTGTGCCGCAGTACATAAAAGAAAAAAGGAGAAAAAATGCAACTGATGAAAGCCGGCTGATCTACCGGTAACGGATAGGCACGTTACGGCAAGCAACCTGCCTGCTACTATGCAGCAGAAAAAAATAATTTACCATGCGAAATTATAAAACGCTAAATAATGAGATCGTGGTTGGAGAGGGAGGCTAAGATGGATGGGGTGGGACAAAGAAACTCACAGCACAAACGCCACTAAGGTCGGCTCCTAGCCATATCAGCAAGTGTATCCAGCCAAACGAGTTCACCGTTTCTTGGATCCAAATCAGGGAAACGTGACGCTCCAACCGAGGCCGGTTCAGAAGTGAGGGCCTTCATTCCTCTCGACCAAGTCATCGATTGGCCACCTCTCCACTTCTTCCATCCACACCCCCGACGCACAAACAACGCACGTCGCGGGAGTCCGTGGGCTGGCATGCGTAACACGTGGCCGAGCCATCGGAGCCTGGTACGTGAAATAACGGTGCTGAGCGGGTCATTACCTTTTCCTGTGCCATAAACAAGGCGTCGAACATGCTCGTTGCTCACGCGGTGTTCCCACCAGATGTGAGCTAAATTACGAAGGCACCGGTGGTCGAAGGTAACTAGCCTCTTCAGGTCCGCTGCTTGAAGCGGCCAGATTTCACAACCGTACAGTAGGGTCGAACGTATCGCTGCATTGTACAATCTACCCTTCAGGGCAAGAGTGATGTCGCGCCGGCGCCATAAGTGGCGAACGTTAGCAAAAGCGCCTCAAGCTTTTGTTATACGATTCGTGATCTCATCTTCAATCCCAGGGGCGCTGGTACAACTTCCGAGGTACTTGAATTTTTGAACGACTTCTAGCTAATCCCCACCAAAGGTCAGCGAAGGAGGCGATCTCTGCCAATCTTGGAGAAACGTTTTGCACTTCGATGATGCAAAGCAAAGCTCGAAGTGACGGACAGCCAGTGCTAATCTGTCCAGTGCCACTCGGCACGTTTGTGCGCTGTCACAGATGAGGGCAATATCATCAGCATACTCGAAGTCAAGAAGTCACTCTCCTGGGAGCAGACCCACACCTTCTAAGTCGTGTCCTGTAAACCCCATTTCCATGACTTCATCAATAGCGAAGTTGAAGAGGAAAGGTTACAGCTGGCATCCTTGTCTCACACCGCTGCAGATATTAAAGGGCGACGACAACTTGTCGTAAGCCCTCACTCTGCTCGAGGAACGCGCATATAATGATCGGATAATATTTACATATTTCTCAGGAACATCTTTCCTGAGTAGACAGTCCCAAAGTGCATGTTTATCCACCGAATCGAATGCACCTTTGATATCGAGGAACACGACAACGATAGGTCGCCAATATATGTGACGGTGCTCCAACAACTGACGCAAGGTGAAGATGTGGTCAATGCAGCCACGACCTCGACGAATGCCGGCTTGCTCTTCACGAATTTGGCTTCCAAGAGTGCCAGTCAGTCTGTGAAGGATGACAGATGTAAGCAATTTGATGGCGATTGAGATCAGACTGATTCCTCTATGGTTGCCGCATTCCGTACGTGAGCCTCCCTTGAAAATTGGGACGAGGACGGAGCGGCTTCAGTCGGTTGGGACAGTTTCCTGATCCCACAGTTTCACTAGTAACACGCATAAACCATCCACAAGAGCAGGTCGTCCGAATTTGAAGAGGGATGGAGGACGATCACCTTGTCCCGCAGATTTATTTAACTTCAACAGTTTGATCTCACGTTCGACTTCTAAGCGAGAGGGTGGATCCAGAGGGACAGCCCACGGAGCGGGGCGATCAGTGGCCGGCGAGAAATCTAACCATTCCGACAGACTAAATTGCCTTTTAAAGTGCTCAGCCCAACGCTCCAAGCGTTTTGGCAAGTTGTGGATAGGCTGTCCACTCTCGTCACAAATTGTTTCACTAATACCAGGTCTCCTGCTGCCCGTTTCCCGTATCAGACGGAATAACTTACGATGGTTACCGAGGGCAACGGCCATTTCCAGCTCTGATTCACGATGAGACCACCAGGATTCGCGGTCTCTCTTCAGGTTAGCACGGAGTTTTGCCCGGAGCTCTTTGCGAGTTTCATTGTGTTCGCTTCCCGCCGGAATATGCCGGCAAGCATCAATAAGTTCCAAAGACAGCGAAGAGATACAATGTTCATGTTGGCGATTAGACGTACAAAATGAGGATTTGCCTGCTGCTAGTAAGGTCTGGTGAATATGAGACCAGTGAACTTCAACTGCACCCAGTGAGCGTTTATCCAACTCGCATGACAGCGTACTTTGATAAGCATTCAGAACAGCTGGCTCCGCAAGTTGGCTGGTGTCAATGCGGTCACAACGTCGTCGTGGGCGTCCACCAAAACGCATCCGTAGGTCAGCACATACAAGTGCATGGTCGGTGTCTACACTTGTGCTCCAAATCGAGCGACAGTTCTGGAGGCAGTGTCTCCATTGGTAACTTATCGCAATGTGATCGATTTGCGTCCATAGTTGGTTCCAGGCTGGTGGGCGCCAAGTCACCCTTCGGCGGGTGCTGTGTCCGAAATTAGTGCTCGCAAGAAATAAGCGAGCATCCTCACACAAATGAAGTAACCGCTCACCGTTATCATTACGGAGCCTATACCATGTCGGCCGCCCAGATGCAGCTTATCTGTGGATAATTTTCCAGCTTGAGCGTTCAGATCCCCAGCCAGCACTACAGTGTCCGAGCTTCTTCTGTGGCTGAGGAGCTCGTTCAGTTGACGATAGAAGTCGTCTTTTACCGAGTCATCGCTACAGTTTGTCGGTGCATAGGCAGCGATAACGAATAGACACCTGTTAGTCACACGCGACTTCGAAGCTTTGAACGAGCCAGCCAATCGGACCGCACACATCCGGCTACTGATTGGAATCTAATCAACCAGAGCAGCTTCAGCCCGGGGACTCAGGGCAATTCCAACACCGGATTGGTCGGTGCTCGAAGCTGCATCGTCACCGGATAGGGGCAATGAGAAAGTGCTGCTAGTGTCACCTGAAGGGGATCGCAGAGTGAGTACAGAGCTCGAGTCTTGCAGGCGGGTCTCCGATAAGCAGCAGATATTGATCGAGGTGGTCTCTAATGTTCGAGCAAGTGCTGCCTGTTGATCGATCTGAAGCAATGTGCGAACACTGAGGCATGCCAATCTGAAAGAGGATCGAAGGCTCCAAATGGAAGCCGATGAACTGGGCTTGACCGCTTGCTTGGATATGGGCTTGTCGACAGGAGAGGAATGACGCTCTGGGTTCGCCTGTGAGTTGAAACTAAAAGACAAGCGACTATTGAAGCAAGGTGGGGGAGGGCCGAGAATTGGGGGGTTGAAAACAGGGGGGATAAAAGTGAAGCTGGAACGGGACGATAAGGGTGAAAAAGCGCAAGAGGGGGAATAAGAAGACTGGAAGGCTTGAACAGTAGCATCCAAACCCCTGTCCAACCTACTCGATGCAGCAGATAGGACACCGTTGATTATCCTCTGCGGTGGCCAGAACATCAGAAATTTGTTTGAAGGGGGATTCATAGGATTGCGTGGGCAGGATAGTGTCAGATTGCCCAGACCTAGAGAGGAGAATGATTAGGGTTCTCAAGTAAAGTCTTTGGTTAAAAAACCTGACTGCAAGGCAGCGCGTTAGGCGTTGGGCTACAAGCAGTCCGTTTTAAGGAATAAGGTGCCACCCTTATTCCAACCCCCAACCTGGAGGACCAGGAGACTGAGTTTATCTGGTCTCTAACCATTGACCAATCTGGTATGAGTGGTTCTGAAGGTGCAAAAAGACACCACCCAGCATAGCTTAATGGGTCACTGAGGCACACAAACCATCGCACCACGTTAAGATCCAGTCTCATTGCGATGGATTGTAGGAGCTCCACATGATACGAACCATGGTAGGCTCAGATAATGAGATTTTCGACTGACAATTAATTTGCCTGTTCGGTCTTTCCCTGATTGTCCCGTGCTTATCGACATTGATCGAAATGAGTCAAACGTGTGAGAAACTTGGATGAGGAGTTCTTTACCCCCATCGACCGGTTGTGCATTGTTCCGAGCTCAGGAAATCAGCTGCGCTCGTCAATCGTCTATGGAGCGACCCAGCGAGTAGGCCCTTATCGTTTGACAATCTGACCCCAAATGAACCAAGTTCGGCAGAGGCTGTGGATGGAGCGGGCTTGTCCAGCTTCCGCGTCTTAAGCCTCACTGGAACTGTGGCAGGGTTAGTGGTGTACAACTTGTCCTTAAGAAGCGGACGATAGCATTGGATGTTCTGTTGTCGCAACGGCGGACACACACGAAAATAGAAACGTGGCGAAGATTCACTACAGTCTGGAGCCAAAAACTGACCATGCGGCGGAAATGAAATATATATAAATAAATAAATTAATATATATATATATATATATATATATATATAAAATACACAATCTGTGGTACAGATATTGTGCCATCGAAATCATGGCTGAATAGGAAAACAACATAAATAATAAGAAAAGAGCAACAAGAACTGCTTTGTTGTTTAGTTTACCAACCAGTTTTTGAAATTTTTCAGTTTGTTCTTTTTTAGTGGGAGGAAGAAGGGACATCACAACACACTGATGCACACGTCCGCCATTGACATCGATCTTGAGCCATGGCTTCCAAGGTCTTCAATTAGCAAATATCCGCATCTCTCGGACCCCAAACAGGTAGTCGACAACAACCGGCCGAGGCCAACTGTTTCGTCAGATTTTTCATGCGGCTTCTCCATGTTGTAGGCTGTCCAGCAGACCGTGTCTTCCAGCCCTATCCAGCAAATGCAAACAACGCACGACGGGGGTAACGCTGGACAGGCATGCGCAATACGTGTCCCAACCACCGCAATTGATGCAGTGAGATGAGCTCCTCGAGCGAGTGACTTCCACGTCCCAAGACACGCTGTCTAACTTCCACATTTCTTACGTGGTGTTGCCACCACCCATGGGCAATGGACCGCGCAGACAGCGGTGCTCGAAGACGGATAGCCTGCGCAAGTCATCTTTACGAATGGGCAAGGTCTCGCATCCGTACAACAGTAAAGCACGAACAATTGCACAATAGACCCGCCCTTTGATGGAGAGACGAATGTCGTGGCGACGCCACAAACGCCTCAGCCTAGAAAAAACGAGGCCTGCTCTCGAGATGCGCACCGAAATCCCGTCTCCAACAGCCCCGCCAGCAGTGATGCAACTTCCCAAGTAGACAAAGCTTTCCACAACCTCTAGTGTCTCACCAGCAAGCGTGAGTGCAGGCAGAGGCACCTGCTAGTCTTGGAAGAGAGCCTTGCATTTGGATAGCGAAAAGTACATACCGTACTTTGATGCTTCAATCGCCAAGCGGTTTAATGCAAGTTGGACGACGTGTGGATCGTCACCCAAGAAGACGATATCATCAGCATAAGCCAAATCACCAACTCAACTACCTGGGAGGAGCTCAACGCCAGCATTCAACGAATCGCCTAGAGCGTTATTCAAGACATCCTCAATGGCAAAGTTGAATAAGAACGGAGAGATAGGGCATCCTTGTCGAACTCCACTGGAAACCACAAAGGTAGGCGAAAGCTTGCCATAAGCTCTAACCCTGCCCGAGGTCAGACTATATAGAGCGCGAAGTAGGGAGACGAACTTCTCGGGGACACCATTCCTCAGTAGACAGTGCCACAGTACTATACGATCGACAGAATCGAAGGCTGCACGGATATCCAGGAACACAGCAATCGTTGGCCTCTGATACACATGGCGGAGCTCGAGAATCTGGCGAAGTGTGAAGATTTGATCGATGCAGCCGCGACCAGGGCGAAACCCAGCTTGTTCTTCTCGTTGCAACGATTCGCGCGTTGGGGATAGTCTGCGAAGTATGATGGACACCAGCAGCTTGCAAACGACGGGGACTAAACTTATTCCTCTGTAGTTGGAGCAGATTGTGCGCAGGCCCTTTTTGAAGATGGGGACGACTATCGATTCACTCCAAGACGGGAGCGGAAATGAAAAGCCGTAGTGCAAAGGATAACAAGCGGTTGAGGAGTTGTTTCCATTCCGCACACGAGGGTTGTCCTGATTTCTGGCATCAGTATCTGTAAGCGCTGAATGGATTAGCTATCAGTGAGCCCTATTCAGTCCAGACAACTGCGAGCCGAGAGCCTAAACTTGTGGAACCGGTTGGATCGGAACCATGACAAAAACCGCCAACAGGGAAACGAGCAGAGACAATTCAGACGAAAACGTTTGGAAGAATGGGGTGAGAAAAAACGTAGGGATCTCTGAGTGGAAGAACTACTAGCTGGTGATTTGAACCCGATAAAATGGCGCTACGCAGCACAAGCTATCAGCATTCAGCTAAGTTGTGACCAAGCCCATCGATGAACACCTAACGACAGATGTGGTAGCCCGATTCACTTCAGAATGCTGGGAAGCACTCAAGCTTGGTCGATGTGGGAGGATGCAGGGACAATTGTAAGCCTACCAGCCCAATGCGTCTAGTAATATAAATGATCATGGGATGTCGCCCTTGAGGTGAAACAGACAGACGAATTGGGTCGAACAATGGGGCGGGCATGGTACTAGGTCAGATGTGCCCGGCCGGGGCAGAGAAAGGTAGACAGCAACTCAGTGTGCTCACAATAATGAACAAACCTGTTTCGCCACACGAAGAAGAGCACCCTCCGTAGGCTGTCCACACAGCTGTCCATTCTGTAGTACCGCGTTGTTGCAGACGCAGCCGATCTGTGGCACAAAGAGAGGAATAGAGATGAAGGTGGGGTAGCTCGATGAGTTATAGCGAGAGTGGTGCATTAAACGGATAAGCGATTGGCAATAGAAATATGAACTGCGATGCAAGTTAGATATATGTTTGCAACCAGCTTTTACGTATGTGATTTATGTTGGAATCCGTGAAATGTTGATCCGAGGAAAAGGGCTGAGAGAGTCAAGTTAGCTGAAATATTGTCCCCAATCTTAGTGTTTTGATAAGTAGGGTAATTAAGATATCGCGCACAGATCACCACGGTACGCAAGCGGTGTTAGCATATACGGTTAGAAGATTTATCGTGTAACCCGCTGATTCGGAAGGGGTCTTAATACGCTATCAATACGAGAAATGTAATCGAATGACCGTCATTGCGTTTGCATCATCTGGAGACAGCTGGCCCGTGACCGAAAGGACAAGGCGTCTGTCTACCTTGCAACTTGGAGGTCGCGGGTTCGAGCCTGCGTAAGGGACTGGGCGACCATCGCAGTATCCTTAGCCCACGTGGCAGCGAAGCACCGGTACTGCGTACCGGCGTACTGCTGACGCGTTTTGCCATCCTAGAGCAAATCGTAGCCCGTCCAAATCACAACCCCGTGATAAGTTACATCAGCAACTGCATCGACTGTAACGGATGTGCGGACACTGAGCTGTCACGTGGGAACTGGAAACTGTGATACACCAATAGTCCAGAAGGGACTTATTTCGATGCAACACAGTACTACAGCGAGACACATGCTCCTTCGGCTCTAAAAATCCCGGGTTCTACACAGCATAGCTTGCGTCGCGTGGTGCCACTGTCTCATCAAAGACAAAGTGCGCAGGTTAGTATTAGGAGACGACGATAAGTGTAGACCGCAAGACCAGCGAACAGGAGTGAAGATGGTTGCGCTGATTCGAGCATTATTTAAATCAGTGCATATGAGAAGAGTTCTGTGTTTCGGGCACCCGATTTTGCAGGGAAAAATGAAGCCGTAGTTTTAGCTCGCCTCTCAGGATGTAGCCCAACGGACCAGTGTGTGCGTGGCTCAAGACATTTGGGCATCATCGTTACATTTGGCGTGTTGTATCACAGCCGAACAACCCGTTTATAGCGAGTCTGGAATTGGGCAAACTGTCGGTTTGAGCAGATCGGTAGTAGTAGGAACTACGCGACTATCTTGGAAATCGGGTTATGAGCTCGAATCCGTGTAAATGTAGGCGAACTCGTGGTCAACCCGAAACTGGTGGAGATCGCGTTGCACAGAAGCGTTGGTACGTGATGTGCCGGCGTACTGCAGATGCTATTTTGCTGACTGTCGGTTAAGTTTACTCAAACCACACGAAAGTGAGGGTCGCTAGGACGACCCGCTGGTGCCGACTTATTTTGGACGGTAGTAAGCGGTTCGCGGCCAAGTGATGTGTATGGAAGACGTTTAGGTGGCACCTTCCGATCTTCCTGCGTACCACCCCCTGATAGTTGAAAGTAGGCCCCCGTCCATATGCTATGATCGCGTGGGAACGAGTAGTGAGTACTGAGCTAAGGCCACTATTTATGATAAGAGTGATGACGACGATGATGACACGGTGTAGGTGACCAAGAAGTTCACTCAACAGGCTAATCAGTCAAGTCAAACGAGTTCGTGGTATAACAACGCATGCGCGACTGGTGGCAGTTACGTGGGGATGAGACGTCGGTATGGTGTGTCAGCGTGCTGCTAACAGGTAGTCGTCAGCTGTACGCCGTAACGGCGCTTCGCTGCCTAGCGACCACCACCAGTCGCGCGTGGTCTGAGTATACCGCGAGAACGCTCGCCCTTACGCGGATTCGAACCGGTGACCTCATGATTGTAAATCAGGCGTGTAGACCACTCGGCTACCTGCCGACGTGTACTGTTAATGTCTTTCTACGGGAATGGTGACCGTAGGAGAATTTACAGAAGAAGTCGCCAGTTGGTCGACGGACAAGAAGACCTAAAGATAAGAAAGACATGACAGTGACTCATATCACTTGTTTTCGTGGAAGAGCGAAGAGGAGAGGGAATCCTGGGGTGCCGACAGACGGCTTAGTGATGCAACAACTGCGTAAGCAGAACAGATCACTGGCACCAGGAGACGGCCGATGTTTGCCGCAGGAGAAGCGGTGCACAGTCTCTGTGACAAAGCTAGATTCGGAGAGCAGTTCTATCCAGTGTCGAACTGGGTATGGAATAGCCATCACCAGGTGCACTTCTGGTATGCATGTTTCTCCTATTCAAATGAATGATGTGTATGTTGAGGAAATGTGAGCCGCCTGCTAATCCATCGTGGCTACGGGCGGTGTAGAGCAGACCATCCATGATGATGATCATCATCATCATTATTATACACGTTAGCTAGAGGTGAGAAATACCTTGTGTCGTAATACATAAGAAAAGAGGAATAAATACTTGCAACACAGGCATGCTAGGTGAGCTACCGGTAACGGATGGATATCGTTCCGGAGAGCTAACAGCCGGCTAGTTTGGCGTAAAAAGTCATAGTATGTATCCGTAATGAGATCGTGATTGTAGAGGGAGGGACAAAGAAACTCACAACACAAACGCCACTGAGGCCAGCTCCTAGCCATATCGACAAGTGTATCTACCCAAATGTGTTCGCCGCCTTTCGAACGCTAACCAGGGAGCCAAGAGGCTCCAACCGAGTCCAACCTCGAAGTAAGGGCTTACATTCGTCTTGACCAAGTCATCGCTTGGCCACCGCTCCTCTTATTCTATTCACACCCCCGGCGAGCAAACAACGCACGTCGCGGGAGTCAGTGTGCTGACATATCCAACATGTGGCCCAGCCATAGGAGCCTGGTGCGTGAAATAACGATGTAGGCTTGTTCACTTCTTCCTGTGTCATAAACAAGGCGTCGAACACGCTACTTGCTTACATGGTGTGCTCATGAGATACGAGCCACACTGCGAAGGCACTGGTTATCGAACGAAACTAGTCTCTTTATGTCTGCCGATATGAGAGAGGTTGCAGAACCGCAGAGTAGGGTTGAACGTACGACTACACTGTACACTCTACTCTAGAGGGAGAGGTATCCTGTGATTGTGTGTGGTCGTAACAACAGGGAAATGCGGAAACGAATACCACCAACCATGTAGGATGAGAGAAATTTTATATTTTCCTTCCTTCCAGCAAAACAGGGAGTGAGCGGTATCAATAACTCACGACAGATCCAAATATACGAATGACAGAAATCACTTCACCTAACCGTAATGCAAACGGTCAGATAAAAAAGCAAGAGCGTACCATGAGCATGCATTATAAACAATGTGAAAACCGATTCTGACGATGCGTATGTGGTGGCTACAACTCACTTCGATTATGCGATGAAAGGCCGAGGGGCATGCAGTAGACGCCAAACAATCATCCACTGCCGGATTGAACAAGGCGGACGAGCTGTGTCGTTGAGCCACGCTCGACACAGGAGTGGTTGGTGGCGCAATGGATGGGGACAGGAGACATATACCACCATTCGACTCAACGGGGGAGGCGGCGGCGGCGGCTGCTCCTGTTGTTGGAACCGTGAGCCGATCAAAATCGCTAGAGACCAACACCGATACGGCCATCTCGTTTTTTGTCATGGTTCCCGTCTTGTCCGCGCACACCACATTCACGCAACCTGGGATGTGGGGAACGGAGAGAGAGAGAAGAAATGAAACGGGTCACTTGAATACGAACAAAGTCTTCCTTGTGCATGAAACGGGCGTGACAAGCTGCCGCCGCACCAATGCCGGGTTAGCCTCGCGCGATATCTGAGACCGTATGGTGCTTGTAATATGTCAGCATTTAGATACTAAACCTTTACTGGGGATGGACGAGATTGCAATAGGTCCCCTTCTCTCTCCCTCATTCCCATTAATACCCACATCAGCGGGGCCCTTGTGAGTGTGACAGAGGAGCAGAAGTGCTGATGCGCTGTTGATGATTATAATGGCAGACAATCTGTGTGTGAAGATGAACACTGCAGTGCTCTTCGAAAAATGACTGCAAACCCGCACCAGGTACTAGCCGCAAACAGGTAGCCGGACTTTTTAGAGATTAGGTAGCTTGTGTTCAGAGCGGATTAGGGAAAATTAGATGGTCACAGTGGTGTACAATAGATGGCCGTTGTGGTGATAACAATCGGAGATTAGACTAAGACCCGCAGGTAAATTGCGTGGTCTCAGACTCAAATGTGTGAAAGAACTAAAGTACAACTACGCCATGGGAAGTGCGTGCAACAGCACACTGGAGAGTTGGTAGTGAGAGCGCGAGCCACTCTCACTTACCGAGTGTTTCGACGGCGGGGAGCTTTCGTACGATTGCGTTGCGTGAGGCCATTCGCATTTGACCGAGGGCCAACGTGACGGTGACAACGATGGGCAGGCCTTCCGGAATCGCAGCGACGGCCAAGCTGATGACAGAAATGGAGAGCTGTTTATAGAAGAAGTAAAGCAGAAATGGGGGGCAAATACTCCGGAAAAAGCAACAAAGTCTAAGAGAGCGAGACAATGAAGGCATCAGATGAAACCAGTTACCTCAGGGCGACACATGCAGCGGAAGAAACGGGAAAAAGGAGCGCGCTTCCATCCGGAAACGAGGAAATTTAACGCATAAAGAAGAGAAAATCTTCTTGAAGCTAAGTATGCAAAGAGGTATCTGAGAAGAGAATTCCAATTAGTAGCTATCGATACGCACCAATATAATGTACCCAATACGAATGGAGAAAAGTAGCGGAAGGGATTAGCCTTGGACAGTGTTACTGAAGTCAAAACCGTCAGAACTGGCGCGGAAAACAACGTGCCGACACTCGATAAGACATGAGATTTACAGAAGCAGAATGCGTCAATTATGGATGAGAAGATGGTCCATTTGGATAGCTCCATACACCTTATGTTGTATGCATATTTCTCGACCGCGCGAGTTACAGTCCAATTAGTTGGACTGACCATATAACACAACATGATCTCAAAGTGCACATGCCATTTTGCAGATATTCCGAAAGAGTTCAAGATCAGGTGGTATACGTGGAGCTCAATTGATAGAGAAGGTAAAAAGAAGGAGAGTTAAAAAGCAAGATGAAAGGGGTTGTTGGAAAAAACACAATAGAACTATTATGGCTAACCGTGGAAACGACTGATGGGAACCTGCTTACATATGGGGTATTCCCTCTAGAGGTTTCATCCGCAGTTCCACATCTAATTTAGCTTCGTGTCGGTGCGGTATAATAGCAAGCGAGCCATCCGCACACTATTTCATTTTTCTAGCCTTCATTCATATAATGAGTAATAGGCTCGCAAAGATAAGTGAGTTCTCATGTTCTGCGTTTTGTAAAATACTCATTTAGGCCATTCAGCCTATTTCGCCGTCTGATTCTGTCAAGTCTGACACCTTTTCCACTCGATGAGTGTGTCGATTTGTTTTGATTAGGCATATATATTCTCATCATTAGGTCTGTGACAATTCGTCACATGGGGGTGTATTAAATAATCCGGAAGCTTCCTTCAATCACCTCAGAAGATCGGAGCACAGTGGAAAAAGGGAGGATAGAAGGTAGCGAAATACGAATAATGTTAAAAGTGGTATACATCCGACAAGGTTTACTTCAGTTTGTAAGTAAGCGATACATAAAAAAATAAAAATAAGGAAAATATGACTCTATGAACGATTTTGAGATAAATCCAGCGACTCCATACAATCGAGTTAAATAGTGATTGGTGTGGAAAGTGAACTTCAGAGGATATCAAGAAATGCCACAGGTAGCCGGATCGTTTCCTCCGAAAAAGAAATAATAACAATTAGAAGTGCGTAGCAAATGTATAAAAAAGATTAGTTTTACGTGGCGAAAAGCGAGATAACGTGATGTTGAAATGGGAATAAGTTTAATAGTTTAACTAAACGAGGAAGATATTATTCAGACAGTTTGCACATATTATCCTGTGTACGTATAGGTTAACCACTAATTCATACATTGACTCCACTCTGCAATCCAGTTCTTTGACTTACAACAGCGAGGTACGTATAAAGCATTTTTTCATTGTTTAGACTTACATAGTCGCAATTCAGTAGGTAGTCTGCTCCATATATCTGAGTACTTCGTCAGATAAAACTTCCGGCGTATACTTATTTTGTTCTACTTGTGGGAAGCGAGTTACTCTTATTCCTAATGTTATACCTTCCATTTAGAATGAAGTATATGCTAGTGTGCGGGGCATATACTCGTTTGTGCACTAAGTCGAATAGAAAGTTCAGGCCCAGTTTCAACCTCCGTAACCACAACGGCTCTAAGTTAAGTAGAATACAGCGCTCTGAATAGTTTGGTAGTGAGGATTTGGTAAACAGAGCTTTTGTGAATCGACGCTGCATATTCTTCAAGCATTAGACGAGCACGTTTCCAACAACTAGTAAATATCATCGAACATATGCAGCTTGGAATTTCGCAATAACAGTGATTTGTAAAATAACCATGTTGTTTGGTGGGCTTTGGCTGCTATGAATTCGATCTGTACCCCGAAATTGAGGGTGCCTGAATAATGTATAGGGTCACCCAGGGTAAAATGGGCATACGGAGAGATTAAAACTTGTATTAAATAGAGGGTTTAAGTTGTATGAACCTTGTAGACATTTATTAAAGTGGAATGATTTTTGTGGCTGCTTTGCATAATCTGACAATATTTTGCCTCACTACTAGAACACAAGGAAGCTCCGCCACTTTGTTTGAAGCTGTCATGTGTCTATACTAGCTGGTAAAACTTCGGTTGAAAATAACTAAACATTAAACACAGACTGGTGTGCGCTACATATTATTGATAAATAAAGTTTTTCTAAGTACAAATAAATCAAAATGAACTCGAATATAATTTGCAGATGGCTACTGATTAACCTAGACTGGGTAAAGTGCGCACACCAAGCAGCACGCGAGGACACCGGTACAAACTTATCGTACAGCAGTTGAAGCGGGTAGCTCACCAACTCTGTTTCGAACGTAGAGTGGTGAATACCTGGAACAACCTGCCGCAGCCCGTAATAGAGGCGAATTCAGTGGCCGAATTTAAGAAGCTTCTAGACAACCATTTCGCAGAGGCAAAATATAAAGAGCCGAACGGTAACTAATATGTTGATGTCCAAGAGCGACAATTGATGCAACTACACAGAGCATGTTCTACTCGCTGCTTCTGATCAGTATCAGTTACATGGAAACTTGACACAATTTTTTGGAGATACTTTTTGATGTTATTTGAAGTCACATAGTGTTAAGTAATATTTTATAATGTGAGTTAATGGTTATAGACTAAAGTACATACAAATTAAGCCTATAAAGATTTCCTTATTTTATGGAAAATAACCAAAGCAAGCCCCACTTTAGAATGACTCGCGAAGAATGTCACGAAATTACAATCGCAAAAAAAACCTCAACAAGATATTCCCCGGAAGACTTAGGAGTTATTAAAGAAAAGGGAGCCATAATATACAAAGTTTCCACGGAGAAGAAACTTCCATACGAGACGTTACGAAGGTGGATCGTTCAATCTCCCAAACGAGTTGGTTCCGGTCGGCTTCCTCTACTTTCTGTTGATGAGGAGAGGATAATTGCCCGTAGCTTGTGCTATTTAGCAGAAAGTGGTTTTACCGGCGATCGTGTAGACTTAGTTTCCATGATCAAATGTTACGTAGAATCCACTGGAAGGTTAAGTGCGTTCATAGACAACTCTCCTGGAGAAGATTGGGTGCTTGGATTTGAAAAGAGATGGAGAGGGGTGCTTTCACGTCGAAAACCGGAACTTTTGATAAAAGCAAGATCTGGACGACTTTCCAAAGGGGTTGTTGATGAATTCTTCAAAATGTATGAAAAAGTGTTGACTGAAAATGACCTACTTGACAAGTCGCACCGAATATTTAATTTCGATGTAGCAGGGTTAGGAACAGATCCCACAGATGAAAAAGTGTTCGTACCGGTGTCATCACGCAATGCCTATTACAAATCAGTATGCGCAGGTAAAACCACCTTCAGTGTGCTTTTCTGCGTTTTAGCCGCTGGATGTTATCTTCGCCCTTTTATCATTTATAAATGGTTATATCTGTATCAATCCTGGACTAAAAATGGTGCTATAGAATCAAGCTTTGACGTCACAAAACCAGGATGGATGGAGAGTTCAATTTTTGAGTCCTGGTTCGCTCATTTTATTCAACGCGTAGCACATGTGGAGAAGCGTATGGTGATTCTTTATGATGGACATGGCAGCC